TAACTACCAGTACAACAGACAGCTGGTTATCTATAACACTAACTACCAGTACAACAGACAGTTTGTTATTCACAACACTAACAGCCATGACCAGAAGGCAGGCAGGCTGGCATCATTTTGACATGTCAGAGTTTTGTTGTTCAATTGAACTAAATCAAACAGATTACATGACAATGTGTCACATGATTTATAAGATTAGAAGCTGACTTACATGACCATTACCGCTAGGACTTGCCATCTCTCCTGACCCAATATGTCCTGTATGTACAAAGTTTGTAGGTTCACTAATCATTGTCCTATCAATCCGCCGTTTCTATAGAAACATAAAATAAATGACAGATGAGTGTATCTGGTCGTAAAAAGTTGTGTTTTAATAAGACCTGTACACACAGCCTAGGAAGTTGCGAGTACCTACTCGCAAATGCGCCCAAAAAATACGTCTATGCGAGTAAAAACTTTTAAATATCCGCATTTAGCTTGCAGTTATCAGAAACTACTCGCATTTTGCGAGTGAAAATTGAAGCAGCTGAAACATGCCGTGCACGCGTCAGACTAGACGTGCAACTTTGAATAATTTACGATGTACTCGGAAAGTCTAGTTTTAGGCGCATGGCAAGTGTCATGTTGCAATTGAGAGCGTACAAGCCAAAATAAAAAAAATAGTAACATTGTAAATATGTGATTGACAGTTTTTGTTTCAAAATACGGGCATACAGTTTTTTTTTTTAAATGAACGGCGGTTTACACTGTCGGCGGCTCTTTGATTGTCAACAAAACAATTTTCATCTGCTAATGTGACTGCGTTTTTCAGTGTCAAGTCGCGTTGGAAACATCGATAATCAAAGTCACACTGTCGCATTGTCCACTCGAACAAGACATGGCGAATAAGCAGATTACTAATTTCTTTCGGCCGGTTGAGCAGAACGAAATTCCAACAACTAACACCGGGACATCAGATCCTACATCCTCGCATCCAGCCACAAAACGGGAGATGGCATGGGATTCAATTTTGGGCACGAGTACGCGATCAAAATCTCGGAAGCCAGAACAAGATGGAAAAATTGTGCGATGGATCGAGCAATTCGAGTGGTTAGACGTTGACACAAAAAAGGCGGCCGACAACTCGAGGCTGGCAACATATATCGAGTATGGTGTAAATGGTGTCGATCGACATGAGAGAAGACAGAGGGGCCAGCTAAAGTTGTCTACTGTCTGTGCTGTTCAATCATGATGCATGGCCAGATGATGTTACCAGGCTTATGGTATATGGGCAAGAAGAATTAGCTTTCCTTTTGCAATGGTTTGGTCCAATCTTAGAGAAAAACGAATGTGTTGCATCAAATGTACCTGCTGAGTGGAGACAACTAAAGCTTCTGGTGTTTAAACAGTTCTCTATGGGCCCTGTGCTTAACAAAGACGCCGTATTGTGATAATTATAAGAATGTACTCCACCTGTGTCAGACAATGATCGCACTGCCCGTAACCACAGCCCAGTGTGAACGTGGTTTTTCTGCACAAAGGCGTAGAATGAACAGCGTAATTTACTGCATCCAGAAAGTGTGGGTGATCTAATACGTATCAGCCTGGAAGGGCCTAGCATAGCTGAATTTGATCTTTCAAGTTCTGTTCACATACAGTGGATGCATGAATCAGTGCGGGCCAGACGACCAAATGTGAAACTGATGTGGCCTGATAACATCGTACATGCAGTCTCTGACCAGGATACAAATCAAGACTTTTTGTAACAGAACAGTAACTCTCATTACAGTATGTCATTATTGTAGTTATATACGCAAAGTTTAACATAACATATTTTATTTCTTTTACGCATGAAACAATTTTGCTCCTAAAATTTTAGGTTTAGGAGCATTTTGCTCCTAATTTCTTAGTGCTTAGGAGCATTTTGCTTTTTGCCAAAAAGTTAACTTCCTAGGCTGACACAGTAAATGCCATTTTTGGTTAACATGCATTTCATTGCCAAAACAAAAAATTATTTGATTAAAATATCGGCATGGAAACAATATTCTTTTAGAATTGTTGGGTTCAAATTTTGAAAAAATCCCAGAAAACTAAGTATTTGTTTTTAAAAATGTATGACTAAGTTAAGAAAACGACATTTAGGGTAAAAAATAAAAGTTGTTGACGTACTGTTGGTCTTGGCTGCTGTGTAATGCAACAAGTAAAACACAACCATGCTGTATCACTCATCTTGTTAAACCCAATGTAACGCATGGACAGAGATAATTTAATCAGTAAATCAAAGCCACTCTGAATCACTTCAAGAAATATCCGTATTTTGTAAACATCAACTCAAACCTAGGAAAAAAAAAAAAACAAGTTTTAACAAAAACCAACAATACACATGGTGATTTAACGAAAAACTGAACCAACTCACTAGTATTTATTGAAGTGTATGTATTACAAACAGATGAAATGTATTGCATCTTGCTTTGCAGTGAAAACATTATCCATTCATATATACATGTATATAGTATTACAGATGCATTTGAATAGATTATGCACACCTTGTCACAATTAGTTTTTACGGTTTTATAATAACAAAATCGACTTACGAGGAGAAGCTGTTTGGCTATCACATGTCGCAGATATATAAAACAAAAATTAATTGTATATTCCAAACACAATCCCCTCTCATTGGTTGAGTAGATAATTCACCATCCTAATACATGTACATGTATTATCAAACAATCAATGATGAAGCCCTACCCCCCCCCCTCCCACTCCCCCCTTTCCATTATAGTTTTTGGTTCAAAAAAATTGAGATATTTGGTCAAAAGAAAGCAAAAATGTGTGTCGTGTCATAATGAAACTGTTTTGACCAAAATCAGGAAATTCACTACATACAGATGCAAGTCAAGTTTTTGAATCTAAGCTGTTAAATTTGTTTTTTGGGTCAAAGCTTCAAAATTGAATTCACTGGAACTAAATAGTCGCAAATCTGTCATATTTGAATTAAGAAATAACACCACCTATTAGACATTCAGTAGGAAAAGAATGGTATTTCTTCACAGGATA